ACAAGATGACAGAATCCAGATAGCACAATCACATTGAAAGCAAGAAAGTCCCACAGTGTCCAGAAAGCAACATTGCACCAATATTACACCAATGGAGAATCGAAACACCGAAACCGAATGTCAAATGAGAGGTTACTCTCGTCCCCACCAACATACGTATCCAGGTCTTCTCTCTCCCTACTTGGCGCTCAGCGTCCAGGCTACTCCCTACACAGCTACTTCCTGCCTACGAATTGACAATGCAACTGTTGACGTCAGCAGCCACCGAAGTACTTGAAGATGCAGACCATCGCCAATACCAGATATGAGCCCTCACATCATCATCCTCATCTCTTTCACTCTCTCCCTATCCTTCTTCTTCCTCCTATCATCCAAGCCCTCACACCAGTGGCGAGCTCTTTCCTTTATGGAAAGTGCTCGCCCAGTCTGCTCCCTGGCTGGGCCTCGTGTATTTCCAGTAGCTTCCAATTGGGCCAAAGTGTCTGCGCCCAGGCCCATTCAGATAGTGGCCTGGGACCAAATTGGTTGAGCCTGCCCAACCACCCAGGAGTAAACGTGAGGTTCTCCCTGCTTCGCCTGTGCTGCTGGAAGAGCCTAGAAGGCTCAAGAATTATTTCTGATTCTCACGAGTGTGGAGGAGGTAACCAACTGGCGCATGGCAACTGTCTGGCGCCCACCAACCTTTACCAAATTTGACGGACTCAGGCCATATTGAAATTCAGGGGGCCCGCCTTCACTTAGGGCGGGCTCATGCTTGCTGATAGGCCCCTACAGGGCATGCCAAGGAGCCAACTCGTAACAAGGCCTCGTCGAAGATCCATGCCCACATGGGGTTTACAACAGGCTCTGCTTGGGCCCCTCAGCCTGGTCTCATAGCCCTATAAACAGGCATTGGCACATATTTGCAGGCCCGCCTTCACTTAGGGCGGGCATGGCACTTTCAGACACTGCCGAGGAACTAAATCCTCGCACATACTTTATTATATATGGAGCAAAAGGAGGCCGGGAATCCCTCCACATCTCAACCCGGAAGACTGGGGCCGTTACCCAGATTTGGCTCTTACGAGGAGGGACAAGGGGACTTTACAAAGGACTACAAACTAAGATTCCATGATTCGCTCCAGCTCGACCCCAACATCCCTATGAAGAGCCCTGAGCAGTTCCCAGACATGTTCCCTCCGCCAGCCACAGCAATTGTAGAAAGACAATGGTTTGGGCATCTGTAAGGAGGTGGTATGCTGGTAGAGGGTTAGATAAGTGCTGACGGCATGCTACTTTCGGGCATCTGTAAGGTGGTGGTACGCTGGTAGAGGGTACGATAAGTGCTGGTGGCGCACTGGTAGGGGGTACGATAAGTGTCAGTCTACATTCATTCTGTAAACTTTGCTGTAACGGGATGCTGGAAGCAATGAGAAAGAGTCTGGAGGGGGGAGGGAGGAACTATTTTGTAGCAGTTGACATCAGGTGCCTGGTACAGGGTGAAGAGGTTCTCTCCCTTGCCAAATATCCTTCTCAGTCAATCCTCCGAACGTCAGAGTAATCAATGCTGGCAGGTACATCCCACAGGCAGTTCCAGATACGCTCATGATACACTCCACAGCAATTGTAAATGGGACGCTGGCCCCGTTTTCCAGCAGGTGCCGCTCCCCACCAATAGATGGAGCCTCTCCCCAGCTGTTAGTGGTGGCTGCTTATACCAGCATCACTAACAATGGAGGGGGTGTTTAAAAAAAAAAAAAAAAAAAAAAAAGGGTCCCTTTCTCCTAAGAAGCTTCATGCTATTCCTGAACAAAGACTAAACTGGATCAACAAAATGACAAAATAGCAAAAAACGAAGGAAACTGCCTTCTCTTTCCACCCATCCTCAACTTAATGCGAGGATCAGGGTCCTCGGTAGGCCTATGGGGCCCTGTCTGCAGCCTTACCCGCCCTAAGTGAAGGCGGAGGTGCCCGCACTAAGTGAAGGCGGAGGTGCCCGCACTAAGTGAAGGCGGGCCTGGCTTTTTGCAAAAGGCCTTCGACTGTCAATTTCATATTTGGGGTTCAGGCAGTTGCGACGCGCCAGTTGGTTGAAAGAAACACAGGCCGAGCAACAAGGACATTTCCACGGCCTACCGGGCCTTTCCAAAGAATGCAGGCCCTGGCCGTGATTCGCAGCCTCATACAGAGACAGTTGGGCGCCCAACCAAACGAGACCCAGCAGCCCAGTAGCTGCTGCATCCAGGCAGCCTCCTGGGGCCTTCCGGAAGCTTCTGGGCCCAGGCCAAGGCAGCCAGGCTGCGTGAGCAGGCCAACTCTTTCCATAAAGGAAAGAGCTCGGCCCTGGCTGCCTCATTCAGGCACTCRCATGCTGRGCGGCAGCGCTGCTGGAGMTTATGYTCGTAGGCTGCTGCTAGCGCTGAGGGGCGAGGTGCAGCACGTGCGGTCGTGCAGAGGAGGAGGGCGCTGCTGAGGGCAGCGCCATAGCCCAGCCACCATAGCTGGTGGGCTTGGACTACAGTGAAGCGCAGGGGTGGTCTTTGGGTGACAGAGAGGACAGGTGTCGGGGAAGTCAGGGGATAGGTGAAGGATGATGATGATAATGATGATGTGAGGGCACGTACCTTGTATTGGCGATGGTCTGCATGGGCGGCATCTTCAAGTACTTCGGGCTGCTGCTGATGTCAACAGTTGCATTGTCTTTTTGTAGTCTGTAGTAGCTGTGTAGGAGTAGGCTGGGCGCTGAGCGCCAAGTGTGAGTGTAAGGGAACTGAACTCTTGTGCTGAGAGGAGAGAGTGTGCTCTCCACGGACATTGGTTTTCAGTGCTACGAAACTCCATTGGTGTATTATTGGTGCAATGCTGCTATCTGGACACGGTGTGACTATTTGACTTGCAATGAGATGGTGTGATCTGGGATTGTCATCTCGCTGTTGCTTATTTTCCTTGCAATTTGGTATCGGAGCTGGTTCATATTGCGCTTCATTGGTTCTTCGCAATAGCTATTGCTGCTTCGCATGAGGTGTGGGGCAGTGATACGGCATTGGCGTTGACTATTAGGCGGCCCAGGGTTGTGTGGGCGCGTCGGGGAGCTATGTGGTGACATACGGGATGTATGCTGGATGATGAGAACTCGCTGATGTGACATATTAAGCTGAGGTGGAACCGCATTCTGCTGTTGGTTGTGCCGAAGCAAAGACCGGTCATCATAATTGCACATCAGGTTACCGGTGAGAAATCTGTGGTTGGGGGCAGCATTTATGAGGTACGTTGCTCTCTTCCTTATCTACCCTCTTCATCTCTTCTTACCGTGAGGAAGTGAGTTCTGTCTTGAGAGTCCTCTCGATGTGAGGTGTCGTGAGCGCTCAACCTTGAGAGTCGACATTCTTCCTGGGCAGCAAGCTGGTGGGAGACGGGCGAAGCCTCTGAAGGGCCCTGGACGAAGCACTCGGGTCACGGTCACCATGCCAACCCGCTGGGACTAGCACACGCATGCTTGGGCGCAAGTCCTTGGTCCTGCTGCTTGCGCAATAGAGGTCTACCTGGGCATGCCAGCCTTTTATGAGACGCTTACCAGACCGTCTATAAACATTTCTAGTTGGGGACTCGGATTGAATCTGGCTGTGATCGTCGTCCTGACTGCGACGTTAAATAATTCCTGCAAAGATGGGGGCGCTCTTAATAATCCTCCTGATCAGCCAGATCAACCGGGTGTAAAGCTCGTTCCGTACGAGGGTAAATAAGAGTGGACTGACTGGCATGTTCGGCAAAGACTTGGGGCACAGGGGTGGGCCGGATTGCACACCTTCAGACACGCTGCTCAAACCAGATGCTCAGGGACGTTGACACAAAGTGACTACTCAAGAAGGATACTGGGGGAGGGGGGGATTCCGGTAACTGTTCGCAGTGGCAATCGATAGACAATCTGCCATCAAGCATACATCTCCAACAGGAGATGTTATTTTTATTTTGATTATCTAGTTGTGACAGACTTCGCTAACAACTGACAGACAGCTACGGATAGATTAGATCTTTGTTGTAGTGCAATCTGTTCCACGGTAATCCAAAAATAGAACTAATATATCCTGTCGGACCTGACATTAGTTGCAACTACATCACCTAACTATTTCTGTTCCAGCCGACCGTAAGTAGTTGTGTATCATATGCGGATGTGTGTCAAGCTAAGGTAGGATTCAGTGTGGATTCTAGTTCAGATCACACACACTGTAGCTCATGAGTGATGCAAGCACAAGTGAGGAGGAGTTACTAGTGGACGACCGTAGGACTACTCGCGGGACTGCCCGCAGTCGACCCTTGACATTCTTGGAGTTAGGTCCAGGAGACGAGAGAAGATTGAGGAGAGAGGCTAGAGAGAGGACAGCGGCAAGGAGAGCGAGGGCAGCTGAGGACAGTGCTAGGGCTAGAGTTTCAGCTATCATCAGTACAGCCATGGCTACCTCATCTATGACGCAACCCTCTACACAGCCCACTTCGTCAGGAGTCAGTCAGAGTGGTACTTAGGGAGTCACTAGTCAGATTGGTCATGTGTGAGTCAGCCAGTCTCCACTCACGCCGGAGGACTTAGAAATCCGGCAGGCAGAAGAACTTCAAGATGAGTTACAGCGGCAGATGGACAATGTAGTAGAGAGGAGAAGAAAAGCTATGCAACGAAAAGCTAGACTAGAGAGTAGATTGCAGGAGCTAGGCAGACTGGAAAGACTAGATGAAGCAACAATAGACCTGTTGTCCGTGTGCTGCGGGGCGCCTTACTTTCAGTGGCGGAAGCGCAAAGCGTTCAACAAGAATTGTTGGCTGATTTGGTAGCAGGCCAGAAACAAATTCTGGCTGAACTTCGGGGCACTCGCCCAATGGTGAGGCCGCCACAGTTTGCCGTAGTTCCCCCTGCAGGTGCGGGTCCATCATCAATGCCGCAACGCACTGGGCAAACTTTCTCTCCCATGTTTGGCATGCCCTCCCCGGGTGGTTTAGTAGCAACTAGTGGTCCGGTTCATTTAGTCTCAGCTGTACCATCTACAACAGTGGTAACTATAGTCCCACTGTCAAGTCAGGCCCAGGTTAGTATGCAATAGCCTGTTTCAGTGGCTATGCAGCCGCTGCAGCAAGCACCTAGGCCCATGCAGCCTATGCAGTGGATGCCCAAGATAGCTTTGATGAGTCCCAAGCCCTTCTCTGGCGATAAGAAGAAGGAGGAAGACTTGGACACCTCGGTGAGAACTGTGCCTACTTATGTGAGGCATAAGCTCGCAAGGCCAGAGCAAGAAGTTGTAGTGGCTGCCTCCTTTTTAGAAGGATCAACAGCCCGCTGGTTAAATGGCTTAGTGCAGCAACAGGGCTACGGTCAAAACTTCGATGCCTGGGCACAATCTCAGACATTGGAAGAGTTCATACGGTCCGTGTACAACAGGTGGCATGACCCACAAGGGGCTCAGAAGGCCACTGGCGCTATCAACAGTCTTTGTTCCCGAAGGTTCAAGAATGTTGGAGAGCTGACGGACGCCGTAGAACGATTAATCGTGGTACCTGGGGTGCGTTTTGACCAGCAGGTTCTCTTAACGGATTACCTAAGGTGCCTATCGTCAGAGGTAAGGACCAAGCTGGTTGACGAAGCCTATGTTGAACAGCACACCTTCGCTTCTTTTAGTAAGAAAGCTCTKGACATCGAGGCAAAGCTAGGATCTGCGCATCAGGCCCCCAACGATGGTAGGAAGAGACTGCCCCAAGATTGGAAGAAAAAGGGTCAGTTAATGTTCGTTGACCACGATGGTCAAACGATGGAGATTGACGACTACTCAGATCTTGGGGAGTTAACAGAGCACGATGGGGGTAGTGAGACTTCAGATGGTGGAGTCGTGGCACCCATCAAGGAAAAGGCTAGGGGGACCGGGAAGAAGAAGGTAGGACGGTCCACAGGTCAGGGCGACCAAGGAACACCCGCATGGGTGAAAATTGGTTTAGACTACGAGGTGTGGAGGGATCGAGTTGCCAGGGGTACATGCATGAACTGTGGCAACTATGGCCACACGTCCAGGACTTGCCGCGACAAGAAGATCACCACGAAGGAAGCCTCACCAACGGTGGTGGGCTTATCTTCGAACCCTAGGAGTGCTTCTGCGAGCAACTCACAGGGAAACATCTCGGGCCAGTAGGAGTGTTAGCCGCTCTTACTCGAGCTGAAGTGGTAACGTTGCCTTCCCCACTTCAGGCATTGGCCAAGGCTAGTGACCCACGTATCGCCCCGCAGACACATTCAGACCCACCGACGCTCTGTTCGAGAGATGTGTCTGAGGCCCTAGAAGAGTTAGAGACTGAGTGGTCAGGGAAGGACCCCAGGGACTCTTGGGCGATGATCAGTAGAGGTCCAAAGGGTGAACATTTTGTGGTAGAAGTAGATGTAGGTGGCCGCAAGGTTGGCGCCTTCGCAGACATAGGCTCTACACGAAATTTCATTAGTCGTGCTTGTGTGGATA